TATATATATATATATATATATATAGTGTTCTGCATCATCTTCATGATGCCGCCAGCATTTTTTAATCATGGCAAATATGGAGTTAAGAAAAGGTTTTTATTACGTTCACCATGTTGTTCCGCCATCACCGTTCATTGGGACATTTCTGACTATGCTTTCTGTAAATGCAAAAGAAAAGTGAACTTTTTTTTTAATACATGAAAAGAATAACCAACAATGTTTGCAGGCCTTAGTTTAGCAAGGCAGAGCATGTAGCTCAGGATTCTGCTGGAGGAACAGAGAGAATCACTTCCCTTGACCACGTGTAAGGGCCAGGAGACCATGGAGGAGGAGTTATGTGATGGGGAGGAGAGGAAGAGAAGGGTGGACCCAACAGTTGAATAGAGGTCTGGGGACCTGATGAGATAAGACCTCAGAAACCAGGTCAAGGCCAAGGACCTTCCACGTGATGTTGAACCTTCCGTTGGCAGATGATATGAAGGCTGAGCTGATTTCAGAGAATGAAGTCGTGAGAGAAGTGAATGACCGGGAATCCTTCAGTCTCCAGCCTCAGCAGGACCAGAGCCTTCTCAAGGAATGCCCAGGCTTGAAAGGAAGCACAGATATACAGGTAGGATCCATCCCAGGCTTAGGAATGGGGAAGTCACAGCAGGCTTTGCTGGAATGGGCTTGAGTTAAAGGCCAGACCCCAACCAGGCTATATCTACTTGGAAGTTCCTGGTCCTGTGGTTTCATGGAGGTGTATGGGTGGGATACCTGGTGGTGTGGCGGTTACGCATTGGGCTACAAATTGTAAGGCCAGCATTTCGAAACCACCAGCTAATGCTGAGGGAGAAAGATGAGTCTTTCTACTTCTGTAAAGAATTAGTCTCAGAAACTAACAGGGGCAGTTCCACCTTGTCTTGAGGGTCACTCAGACTCAATGGCCTAGGCTCAATGGCAGTGAGCTTGGTTTTTTTTTTTCTTATTTGTTTGTTTTTTAATGAATGGGAAGGGAAGTTCCAGCCAACTTCCTGCCATTCTCTAAGCGTTTGCAAAGAAGGGGACCAAGAAAACTCTTAACTCCTTATCGTCAGCTCCTGGGAAACCTGCATAAAACCAGTTGCCATCAAGTCAGCTTCAACTCAGGGTGACCCCGTGAGTGTCAGAGTAGAACAGTGCTCCCAAGGGTTTTCAGTGGCTGGTTTTCAGAAGCAGGTCTCCACGCCTTTCTTGGGAGGCACCAGGTGAGGGCTTGGACTCAGGGTGATCTGAGAGGACAAGGCACAACTGCTCCTGTGGATTTCTGAGGCTGTAACTCTTTTTTTTTTTAAATCATTTTATTGGGGGCTCATACAGCTCTTAACACAATCCATAGATACATCAATCGTATAAAGCACATTTGTAAATTTGTTACCCTCATCATTCTCCAAACTTTTGCTCTCCATGTAATGCTCCTCATTTTCTCCCTCCCTCCCCGCTCCCCACTCCCTCATGAACCCTTGATCATTTATAAATTATTATTTTGTCATATCTTACACTGTTCAATGTCTCCCTTCACCCACTTTTCTTTTGTCCATCACCCAGGGAGGAGGTCACATGTAGATCCTTATAATTGGTTCCCCCTCTCTACCCCACCCTCCCTCCACCCTCCCGGTATTGCCACTCTCACCACTGGTCCTGAAGGGATCATCTGTCCTGGATTCCCTGTGTTTCCAGTTCCTATCTGTACCAGTGTACATCCTCTGGTCTAGCCAGATTTGTAAGGTAGAATTGGGGTCATGATAGTGGGTGGGGAGGAAGCATTTAGGAACTAGAGGAAAGTTGTATGTTTCATTGTTGCTACCCTGCACCCTGACTGGCTCGACTCCTCTTCGAAAGTGTAACTCTTTCCGGGAATCAAAAGCCTCATTTTTCTCCCGAGGAGAAGCGAGTTTAGAATTACTGACCTTGCAGTTAGCAGCCCAACATGTAACCATGATGCCAACAGAGCTGCCTGCTATAAAATCCGTGTAGAAACTTGGGTCAGCGTTGTCTACAAGAGAACTGGGGGTTCCCTGCTTGTCACCCCACATCCCTGCAGTTTTACAAGGTTTTTTGGACTCTTTTTTTATTAGACTGAGAAGGACACGAATGTTGAGCAAGAGTCCATGAAGCACAGATATGAAGAAGACCTCCGTGAAATCAAGCGTGAGACGGACGAGGAGAAGAAGCGTCTCAGAGATCCGCTAGTGAAGCAGCTGGAAGACTTAGTGAAGAAGCACTCGGTGGAGATCAAGTCGGTCCGCTCCTCAGCAGAGGCGGAAAGGAAGGAGCTGCAGAAGGTGAGTTTTCCTTGGATGGATCGCTGCTTTATCTCCCGGAAATAACACCACCAACACCAACAAGCACAAACACAGCATCAGGCAGGATGGCTTAAAGCAGCAGAAATACTTGGTTATTTTATCTATTTTATTGACATCTCATTCACATGTCATTCCATTCCATGTTTAAGTATATTAAAGAGAGTTGTGTGTTCATCACTGCCAATCAATTTTAGCACATTTTCTTCATTTTTGTATTGATTATTGTTCGCTCCCCATTTCCCCTCAATCTCCTTGGTCATAGGAAACTATCTAGTTTTGCTATTGCTATTTATTTGCCTATCCTGAGATTCATATAAAAAAATAATTCAAGTGAAAAAAAAAATCAAACACAACCACCACCGCTGCCGCTCAAAAACAAAAACCCAACCCCACCAACTACAGCAGAAGAAAACACAGAAGAACATCAATCCAAAAGAGAGCAGAGTGGAATAACAACTAGAGCAAACTGAAATGGGCTCACCGGGAAAACAAATGGTAAGATGTTAAACTTTACCCCAACTATAGTAACCCACATGCTGATACACTCTGTCTAGGAGCAAGACAGTTCCTATCCTTGGTCAATGGACCCAGGGAATCAATGGAGACTTAGGCCATGTGAGGACTTTGTAAATGGATTCGGGCCTTTCACTGACTTCCATAGCCTGCTGCAGACTGGGTGATCAGAATGCAAGCTCTCTGGTGGTCTCCCCCTCTTGTCTTGGATTTTATTGTTAATAATTCTTTGGTCACGCTGGTTGGTGGGCTTCTTCTGTGTGGTCTTAGCTGATGGCTGCTTGTTTTAAGACAAACCTATAAGACCCCCAGATGCTATTCTTTCTGGTAGCCCGGCACCTCTGATTTCTCCACTAAGCTTAAGGTACGAAAATTTAATTGTCTCCCCGTTCTGAAGTCTAGAAGCCTTCAGGGAAGGTGTCAGCCGGCAGGTTCTCTCTAACAGCTCTCGGGAAAAGCTGGCCTTTGTCTCTTTCCAGCTTCTGGTGGTTCCTGGCAATCCTTGGGCTTCCACTGCACCCTCTGTCTCAGACGACCTGCTCACTCTGTGTCCGGTTCCTCTCCTCTTCTTATAAGGACCTCAGTCATACCGGATCAGGGCCCGCCCTGCTGACCTTCATCTGCACTGGTTGTATCTTCAAAGCACATGTTGCCAAATAAAATCACACTCAGTGGGGGACACAATTCAATAGATTCTGCCCCCCCCTCCCACCCCCTCTCTTTGTGTTTTGTTTTCTCCTTTATTTCCTCAAATGTTCACTGAGGCTCCCGCTGTGGCCTGGGTCCCACCGAGATGAAAGACACAATCATTGCCCAAAGGGAGGTCAGTCTCTTGGAGGGGACAAGGAGACAGAGGCCCTTAAGACCATGCGACCCAAGGCTGTGGAGTCCCTGGCAGGGTGGATTGGCTCCATAGGAGTGTTTAGTGTAAGGAGATCCCCCTCTTGTCGTCTGGGGAAGGAAGTGACATGGACTAGCACTCAGGCTGGCCGACTCTACCCCCCCCCCAACTTTGTGACCATGCCCCTTATTTACCCAGGACCCTCCCATACCCTTCTGGTTCCCCGCTTGTAAAACGGGATGATGAGAACATCACCTCGTCGACTAGCTGAAAAAAACAAAACACCGCAGAGCAGTCGGGGACTTCAAAGGCAAAGGCACTAGATGTCTTGGTTGGCGGTGTTGTTAGGTGCCGTTGAGCCGGTACTAACCCATAGCGACCCTGTGTAGGCACAACAGAGCAAAACACAGCTCGTCCTATTTGAACTCATTGCGGCAGCCACTGTGGCAATCCATCTCACCGAAGGCCTTTCTCTTTCTCACTCTCTTCCACTTTACCCAGCATGATGTCCTTCTCCAGGGACTGGTCTCTCCTGACGACGTGTCCAAAGTAGGTGAGGAGAAGCCTCACGATCCTTGCCTCTCAGGAGCACTCCCCGCCGTACTTCTTCTGAGACAGATTTGCTTGTCCTTTCGGCAGTCCAGGATACTTTCAATGTTCTTCTACAGCACCATGATTCAAATGCATTGATTCTTATTCGGTCTTCCTTATTTAATGTCCAATTTGCACATGCATCTGAGGCAATGGAAAATACCTCACCAAGTAGGCCCCCAAACACTGCCTACCCCTGGGCCAGACTATGCCACTATGATCCATAGTGCTTCCTGAGGCTGGTTTTCAGAGAGTGATCATCAGGCCTTTTTTCCTAGTCTGTCTTGGCCTGGAGGCTTCCTGAAACCTGTCCAGCATCCTAAGCAATTAGACAAGTTTCCAGCAACAGATAGGTGTTGGCTGTGAAGAAAGTTCATTGACTCGGAATTGAACCCAGTTCCCCTTGCATGAAAGGTGAAAAATCTACCCCTGAGCCATCGCTGGCTCAGACATAAGTGCAGATGATACATCAGTGGTATCATACTCACTGCCATTGACTCGATTCAGACTCACAGTGACCCTATAGGGTAGAGTAGAATATTTCCCTATGTTTTAAGACTGTCAATTTATACAGGAATGGAGAGCCTCATCTTTCTCCCTCAGAGGGGCTGGTGGTTTCAAACTGCTGACCTTGTGATTAGCACCCCAACTCATAATCCACTACACCAGCAGGGCTCCTTAATCAGTGCTATGCTGACTTAAAAGATATTCAACCTTCCCAAAGCCCATCTGTAGGCAACTGGACATCCCCGTACAGAAGGGTCATGGGGAGGAGAAGAGCCAGTCAGGGTACAGTGTAGCAATGATGAAATATACAACTTTCCTCTATTTCTTAAATGCTCCCCGCCCCCCACTCCACCACCACCACCACCACCACTACCACTATCATGATCCCAATTCTACCTTACAAATCCACCTAGACCAGAGGATGTACACTGGTACAGATAGGAACTGGGAATACAAGGAATCCAGGACAGATGAACACTTCAGGACCGTGATGAGAGTGGCAATACTTGAAGGGTGGAGGAAAGGTAGAGTAGAAAGGGGGAACCGATCACAAGGATCTATATATAACCCTCTCCCTGGGGGACAGACAACAGAAAAGTGGGTGAAGGGAGACGTCAGACAGTGTAAGACATGACAAAATAATAATAATTTATAAATTATCAAAGGTTAATGAGGAAGGGGGAAAACGAGCTGATACCATGGGCTCACGTAGAAAGTAAATGTTTTGAGATGATGATGGCAACAAATGTACAAATGTGTTTGACACAATCGATGTGTGTATGTATTATGATAAGAGTTGTATGAGCCCCCAATAAAATGCTAATAATATATATATTCAATCTCTGTGGACTATGTTATCCTCCCACCCCCCGCCACACACACAGTGGGGTGGCTTTCTGCTAAGAATGGCTGCAATGCTCCCTGTGTCCTCTTTGCTGAGAGAAACGCAAATCACATAGGGAAACAGTGGAGCATAAATCAGCTTTATTGCAAGCCTGCACAGAACACTGATTTAATGCAATTGGTCTTTGCTGATGATGCTTCTCGAGTCAACAAACCCAAGCTTCATCATCTTCAGTTCTAAGGAGCATTCTGGGTGTATTTCTCCTAAGACTAATCTGTTCACTCTTCTGTCAGCCCTTGGTCTATTTGGGATTCTCTACCATCACCACAATTCAAACCAAAAAAAGAAAAACTAAGCTCACTGCCATTGAGTGATTCTGCTGCATAGTAGACTGCCCCTGTGGTTTCTGAGACTGGGAATCTTTACAGGAAGCGACAGCTTCATCTTTCTCCTGTGGAACAACTAGTGGGTTGGAACTGCTTAATGCAGCCCGGGGTATAACCCACTGTGCCATCAGAGCTCCTGACAAAGGCATCAATTATTGTCATCCTTTCTCGTTCCCTTTCACATATATTGGGGGCGATTGAAAATATCAAGGCTTTGGGCCAGGTGCACATTTGTAAGACTTTAAAGAGATCTTCTGCAGCAGATTTGTCCAATGCAAGTCAGACTTAGTGGTTTGAATGCAACCCCTCTGGTGTTTCTACTGAGGAGCCATGATGTCATCGTGGTTAAGAGTTGGGCTGCTAACCATAGAGGTCAGCAGTTTGAACCCACTAGTCGCTCCATGGAAGAAAGATGAGGCTTTCTCCTCTCATCAAGAGTGGCAGTCTCAAAAACCCACAGGGACAGTTCTCCCCTGTCCCATAGGGTCACTCTGTTTTAGAATTGACTGGATGGCCGCGTGTTTGGTTTGGCATCTCTAGTACATGTGTCCTCACAGTCTGCAGGACTCTTATAAGCTAGGGCTTGGGGGGCAAGGCAGGGCGTGAGTAAGTAAGTCTCTCCTGCCTATGTCTTCCTGCCTTGAGTGCTTCATTCTTTCCATCCTCCTCTAGGAAGTAGAAGCACAGTTGGAGGAAGTGAGGAAGAAGTCAGAAAGTGAAAGAAAACAGCTGGAAGTGGAGAAAGCGGCTCTCAGCATGAAGCTGCAGAATTCTCTGAAGGAGGTAAGCCTGGAGCCCTGTGGTACCCGGGGATGTTTGTCAACTGAGACTCCAGCAACCTCAGGAGACAGCCCTGGACCTCTATTTACACAGCATCCGCGGAAGAAAGACTAGAACATTCAGCCCAGACAAGAAGTGGCTTTGGGGGTTGTACATTTTGAAACCACTAGCAGCTCTGAGAGAAAGATGAGACTTGCTACTCCCGTGAACAGGACAGTCTCAGAAACCCACGGGGCTGTTCTACTCTGCCCTATAGGGCCACTGTGATTCGATGGCATTGAATGTGATGTGTGTGTGTGTGTGTGTGTGTGTGTGTGTGTGTGTGTGTGTGTTTTAACAGAGCATGTAGGAGTCCTGGTGACATAATGGTTACGTATGAGCTGGGCTGCTCACTGTCAGGTCACCAGTTTGAAACCACCAGCAGCTCAACAGGAGAAAGAGGAGGCTTTCTACTCTTGTGAAGAGTTAAACCAAAAGCGAAACACAACGCCTCACTGCTATTGAGTCATTGCCAACTCAGCAGCCCTACAGGACAAGGTAGCGCTGCCCCTGTGGCTTTCCGAGACTGGGCTCTTGACGACAGGACTCTCTCCCCACTTGTGGTTTTGGACTGCCGACCTTGTGGTTGGCAGCCTGATGTATAACTCACTGTGCCTCCACCAAACCTAGGCAAACTTAGTCAGTGCTTTCTGACTCACCGTGACCCCTTGTGGGTTTCTGAGACTATAACTGTTTATGGGAGTAGAAAGCCCAGTCTTTCTCCTCAGGAGTTGGTGGTGGTTTTGAATTGCCGACCATGCAGCATGCCACCACGGCTTCTTCATAAAGAGTCACAGACACCCATGGGGACAGTTCTTCCTTGTCCTAGGAGGGTCACTATGGGTTGGAATTGACTCAATGGCGGGGAGTGTTTCGAACAGGGAGCCTGACTTATAGAGGCTTACACCAGTGGTTCTCAACCTTCCTAATGCTGTGACCTTTTAATACAGGTCCTCATGTTGTGGTGACCCCCCAACCATAAAATTATTTTCATCGCTACTTCATAACTGTAATTTTGCTACTGTTATGAATCGGGCGATGGGTCGCGACCCACAGGTTGAGAACCGCTGGCTTAAACAAAGATAAGGCCGCACTGGCACCAGGTGGAATTCTAACCTTTCACTTGGGAGACCCAGGTTCTAGTCCTGGCCCAGGCACTGCATACGTAGTGGTCACCCATCAGGTTGTCGAAGCTTGTGTAGCTACTGTGATGCTGCACAGGTTTCAGGGAGCTTCTCGACAAAGAGGGACTCCTTTACCCACTCAACATGTCCCCAGAAGAAATAGTGTGACTTTCCTGAGTGGCACGAGAGGCCACAAAAGCCCCCCTGCAGATCCAGTGGAGATGGGGGAAGGGGCTTTCTAAAGTATGTGTGTGAAATCCCCTCATCATTTCCCCATGAATTTGGGGGCGCCCCCTCTCATGTACACAGCTGATTGCTACACACATGGCCCCTGGCAGACCTGCGGTTGTTGGTTGCTGTTGAGTGGGTGACCCCGAGTGTGCAGGCACCTCTCAGGAGATGGGCTTCCGAAAGGTAGAATCCTTCCAGCCACCCTGGCTAGTCATCCCACGCTTGACCGCACCAGCTGGGGGCTCCACAAACCTCCGGTTCCTCTGCTTTGGGAAAGAGAAGCCATCCTCCAAGTCGAGTGGGCCTTTCGAGGAGCATTGTGGGAATCTTCTGAGCGGTGCCCCTGCTGACTGGCCCAGGAGCCCGGGTCCCCAGATTGATGGCTGTGCCCCTGACCCAGGATGCCGCCTCCTTCAGCTGGGCTTTCTTTCCTTCTGCTTAGGTTTTCAGGCTGGAAGAATTCATCCAGCAGAGTCAGGCTCGTGCCCCAACAACTGAGGAAAGGTCTCCAGACACCAACGGCAGGGCTTCAGAGCCCCAGGTAACCACTGGCTTCCTCTGCTTTTTGGAAGGACCCTTCTCTTTCTCCTCCCTGTTTCTGCACTTTTTGTCCCCTGGTGACGTGTGCTGACGTGAATAGGCTCTTTGCCCTTCTCCCCCTAGTACTCGCCGACATGCCTGGTGTGGTTGGGGAGGGGGGGCGGCGCGCGGGGCGGAATCACCGCAAAATCCACTTGCAGAAACCACAAGGCAAAGAGAATTCTGAGCCACAACCCATGGAGTCAGGAAGAGACCCAGGCTTTTCAGTTCCTCTTCTCGCTTTCTTTGCGGGTGGGCCTCCTATCCTGGATCTCACTCAGGGCTCTGTGCATCACTGCGGCTCAGGGCGTCTTGACTGTGGCTGCTGGTTGCCAGGTTTGAGAGGCCAATCCACCCAGAGGGGCCTCAGAAGGAAGGTATGGTGATGTCGTTCTGACAAAGCAGCTGTTGAAAGCAGTGTTGCCAGACAGCTGCCCTTGGACACACAGGGCATCGCCAAGAGTCTCAGTGACCTTGAGGCAGCTGATAGCTAGTGAGGTGGCTTCTGTCTGAATCCTGAACGGTGGACAAGCTCTCCAGGAAAGGGCGTGCCATGGGCAGGGCTGGCACGTCAAGGGTCCCATGGGTGAGGAGAGCCCTGGTTCTGCGGGTGAAGCAGCTGCCGTCCTGCATCACAGCTCGATGACCAGGTGAGTCTAGGCATGTCAGCAACCCTGGCGCTCAGCAGACTAGTGGTCCCTATGCTCTTAAGCAGCTTCCACATCTGGAGGGGACAGACGTCCCCAGGCCACAAGGTGTAGCCGGTGCCCTCCCCTTGGTGGAGTTGGAGGGTCTGCTTCCAAATGACCCTTGACCTGGAGAGTTCGTTCCAGGTAGAAGCCTTTCCTGGCATTGGGCCAGGTTCTCTGGGGCCTGGGAAGGCAGTGTGGAATGGGACCAGCTGCAGCCCAGAGCTGGGTCTTGGGTTCAGCCCCCACTCAACTTCAGACTGGCTCAGAGACCTCGCTCAAATGCACACTCACAGCCTTCCGGTTGATTCCGACTCAGAGTGAGTGTAAGAAAGAGGACCTTCCATCCAGAACTGCCTTTGTGGGTTTCTGAGGCTATCAGTCCTTAGGGGAGCGGAATGCCTCATCTGTCTCCCTTGAGGCAGCTGGTTGTTTTGAACTGCTGACCTTGTGGTTAGCAGCCTAACTCATAACCCACTACACCCTCAGGACTCCGTTCAGAGGACCCAGGCAAGTCCAGTAACCTCGCTGAGATGGGTTTCTCTATGTATGACCGCAGGCTTGGACACAGTGAAGCCTCACGGCACCTGCACATGTAACTTGAGGAAGACAAAGGTCTGGAGCCATTCTGGCATCGCTCACCCATGGGTGATGCTTCTAGCCGTGGATTTCGGCCTCATTCACCCAGTCTCCCCAGGACAAGTCAATCACACCAGCCTGTGCATTTTCCTTAACCCCTTCCCGTGTGTATAAAAATTCCCCCGAAATGCTGTGCTTGTCGTCGCTCCTGCATTCAAAAGTTTCATCATGGTTTCCCACTGCTCCATTCATAAAAATAACAATATTGGCTCAAAAAATGATGGAGGTCATTTCATACAGCACTTTTGATCTACTGTTAAGTACTTGGAGCTTAAAGCTTCAGGTCATAGAAAACCAATACTTAGCTTCAGTGAAAAGAACCCTGATGGTGGGGTAGGTCACACATTGGGCTGCTAACCCCAACATCAACGGTTTGAATCCACCAGCTGCTCTGGGGGAACATTATGAGGCAGTCTGCTCCAATAAAGATTTATGGACAGCCTTGGAAGTTCTATGGGACCGTACTACTCTGCCCTATAGGGTCACTGTGAGTCAGAATCGACTCGATGGCAGTGAGTTTCGCCCTAAGTGGAGTGTTCGTGTAGTCAGAAATAGAATTTGAAGTCAGTGCTGTATATTTTTTAAAGGTGTAGAATGCTGATGAAAATCATGTTCATTGGGGTAAGTGTTCATTTGTAAAGATACGGCAATACATTACACCTGTCAACTCATATAGTGTGTATTAAAACACTGTGGCATAGGTGTGAGTATTTTTATCCCCATCCCCACTTAAGAACTAGGAAAACTGAGGCCCAGCAGGGCCCGTGTTTGTTCATCAGGATACTATGTTGTTGTGAGTGGCCTTCGAGAACTCCAACTCACAGTGACCCCGTGGACAACAGAAGAACCACTGACCAGTCCCCGGCCAGCTTCACCATCATTGAAGGCTGCGGCTGCTGGTTTATCAGTCCCCCCGTCCGAGGAGGCCCATTTTCCAGTCCTTTGGGAAATATTCTGGTGTGATCCACCGAGTCTCCAATGGCTAATGTTTGGAAGCCATCACCAGACTTCATCTGGCAGCTCCACTGATCGGTGTCCACCCCGCATGACCCTGCTGGTGTTGGCAGTACCATCGACAGAGCAACGCACCAGCCACCACAGTCAGACCCACTGGCAGATGGGGCGTGGCACAATACTTACTGCCTCGAATCAGTGAAGTGCCTGCGATAGCCCTGCCCTCCACACCCTGGGACGGCAGTAATGGACAGAGGAAGGCATAGGCAGGCACTTTTCAGAGCTGTCCAAAGATGATGTAAGTGTTAACCACCAGGCGACATAATACCATCAATTCCAGTCCCTGTGGTCATCTCCGGGACACTCCCCGGTCAAACTTGTACACAGTGCTACCTTTGAGAGGCTGTCAACAGAGCTGGAGACTGGTCTGCATCCTCCCCTCTGGGAGCTCTCTCGGGTGTGGGCGTGCCTCTAAACAGAAGCAATACCAACGAGGCTGGAAAATGCTCACAGATGAAAGATGGAGACTCGATGGGAACAGAGGCTTCCAGTAACCAGCCATCTGCTCAGACCGGGTGGAGCAGGGGGGTAGAGGCAGACTGGGCAGGGGTTGAGGAGAGGCAGGACAATGTATTCCCGCACGCTGTTCCTACCCTTCTGTTGGTCACTGGCTCGCTCGGCGTCAGAACTGACTTGGTGGCACCTAATAACAGCAGTCCTGCCCGGACCTCGAGAGCTTGGGTGGGGTGGGGGTTGGGGGTGTGAATCTAGTGTGGACCAGGGTCAGATCACAGGATAACTCGGTGGGGGGAGGCCAGGTTTTAAACTGAGCCCCAGCACATAGCCTCAAAAAATCACAGCCCAAGAGTGTGTCTGCCCCATCTGGAATCCAGAGAGGCATGATGAGTAAACAAAGGTGTCCTTGGGATTAGGTGGCCTTCAGTCCACTCTGACTCGCCGCCACCCCAGGTGGCAGGGGAGGGCTGTCCCATAAGGTTTCCTGGGCTGGAAATCTTTACTGGAACGATTCGCCAGGTCTTTTCTCCACACAGAGGCTGGAGGGTTTGAACCACTGACCCTTTGGTTGGCAGTTGAGTGGCACCAGATAAGAGCTTGGGCATGCTCGTTCCAACAACTCTTGGCCTCTGTGGCCTTAGTCAATTTTGAAGGCTTCAGATGGGAGCCTCTCACTGTGACTGGTGGGCTTTGACCCAAAACTCCAGGCACACAGGCAGGGAGGGTCGGAGTGGGGTAGGGGTTGGGGGAAGAGATGTAGTCACCTCGACCAGGATCCATCAACATAATTCTGACTCCTGGAGATTACAGAAGACAGCTGTGCTACGTGGGGTGGTCTTGGCTGTCCTTTCCACTGATGGCGGTCTGGGGTGCATAAGTAGGTAAGGGTTGAACCACGTAGCTGACAGTGCCTGGGTAAATGGAGAAAAGGTGGGAGTTGTTGAGGATTGCATCTTGCTTGGATGCACCATCAATGTCCACAGAAGCAGCAGTGAATAACTCAAATGACATAGTGTATTGGGCAAATCTGCTGCACCAATGCCTCTTTAAAGTGTCAGCGAGCCAGGATGTCATGTTGAGCACTAAGACACACCTGCCCCAAGCCATCGTATGATTGTCAATCACCTCCTATGCGAGTGAAGGTTGCACAGAGAATAAGGAAGACCAAAGAGTTGATGGCGCTGCTGGTGAGGCAGGAGGAAGCCCGGGCAAGAAGGCTACATGGAGGCGGTGGAGGAGGGGAGGGTTCTCCACAAGGAGGGAGTGACCCGGCCTCTCCAGTTCTGCCAAGAGCTGGAGTTAGACTGGCTCAAGATCTACCCTTGAGGATGTCATCATTGGGGTTGGCTTTGGCGGCCTCTTCTGGAAGTCTGAAGCCCTGGTGGTGGTGTAGTTATGCGTTGAGCTAACAACCACCAGCTGCTCTGTTGGAGAAAGATGAGACTTTCTGCTCCTGTAAAGAGTTCAGTTTCAGAAACCCACACAGGCAGTTCTACCCTGTCCTGTAGGGTTGATATCAGTCAGAACCCACTCGATCTCAGTGAGTTTAGTTTCTGGTGTTGGTTTTGTGGACATCCCAGCAGATGGAAAGGCAAGCGAAATGGTTTTTGACCTCATTTGGTGGGCCTCGAGGAGTCCAGGTGGTGGCTTAGGAGTGACGCATTGAACTGCTAACAACCAGGTCAACAGTTCAAAACCACCAGCCCCACTGTGGGAGAAAGAAGGGGCTTTCTACTCTAGAAATCAGCTACAGCCTCAGAAACCCACAGGTCCAGCCCTTATAGGGCTACTATGAGTTGGAATCTCCTCGATGGCAGTGAATTGGGATGGGAGCCCAGAGCCCCACCCACTAGCCTCCGCTCAGCTTCGCCGCCCTCATGAGGGCCTCCCAGTGACTCTGGCACACAATTTGAGAACCATATTCCAAGCCATAGGTTGCCAAACATATTTGGTCAACTGCCTCGTTTTTCAGAAAAAAACTACAGCCCCCGTTTGCACAATAGTCCATCATCCAGGATAAAGTGTAGGTATCTGCTTTTGCAGCCCCCTTTCCCCCCCAGAAGCATCCCTGCACCCTCATGGGAGCAGTATTGCCCACCCTGGGAAACACTGCGCTAAGCCAACACCTTGATGAAACAAACGCTGGCCCAGGAAAGGGGAAGGG